TTCCAAGAATATTTTTTAAAAAAGAATTAAAGCACAGTAGGCAGTGTTATACAGGATTTGAAAGTTGCTTGCCTCGATCAATATACTGGAGTTATTAACTAAATACATTTTGGTCTTATTTAAAGGCCCATTAAGCGCCAGAAATGCTTCGAAATCTTGTTTTTGTTTGGTGTTCTATTAGTATCCAAAAAGTTACACATTTGAGATACATCTGAGCCATCATTTGTTTCTTTTCTATTTTGGCATTTAGTACAGTACAGTACAGTGATTTTTTATAGCAATTAAAATGTTAAAATACTGCTTTGTTTACATTTTAATTGCTACTTTTATGACAAATAATTTTTACATTCAGAGCTTCTTTTTTCATGTGAAAAGTATCTTACATGCTCTAAAACCATTATTTACACATTATAAAACTCTTGTTTGCCTTTCTAACAAAGGCAAAAAGTATTCCTTTCTGGGGCAAAATGTGACTTTAAAAGGGACTCAACTGAGGTTTTTTGCCTTGAAAGGACTAGATATTATTTTTCAACATTTAGGTTCCATTTTATGTAGGTCTAGACCAAAAACAGGTGTAAAAAAATTCATTTCAATCCCTAAGTCTGTTTTCCCAGAATAATAATTCTAATCATGAAATTTAATGAATTTTGAAAAGCATTCAACGCTTTTAACTAAATTAGGCTAAGAATAACACAAAAATATGATTTTCTATATATTTGTGGGTATATTTTTAATACTTGTTTGCAAATCTTTTTCATATTTTAGTTTTGGACCTCAGTGGAGTTTGTTCATTTAATTAATAGCCTTCAATTAAAATGGTTCATGTACATAGAAATTTATAAGTTACTTGTTTCACTAGGAGAATGACTTTAGAATTTATTTTTTTTAACATCAGACATGTGGTGTACTCCTTAAATGATCTCTTACAATAAAACATAAATATTAAAAGAACCATTGACAATGTGATATTTAATTGAATATCTTCATTTAATTGATAAACTTTAATGTTTTTAAATACTTAAACAGATTTTATTTTATGTGCAAATCAATGTCTTTAAAACACAGTACAAAAGTTTAGTGTATAATATGTAAAATATATGTGATGAAATTGTTTTTCTAATTGTTGGTATAGAAAAATCTTTAAAGTTAATTTTCTATAACTTTTATCCTGTCAATTGGTTACCGTGACTTCTGTAAATAGTAAGTATATACCGGTAATTCAGTTATTCTGTAAAATTCTTAGCAACAGATAATCTGTTAAAGAAACAAAGGAGGTTTAAATGATGCAGTTTGTTCTTGCAGTACTGTACATTTTTTAAAAATAAAATAGAAGAGAAAATGCATTTGAAATTGTTTTGACTTCAGTTATAAGCAAGTCTTGTTTCATGGACATTATTATATATTTAAAGTAGATCTGATATTGTTACAAAGAGATAGTGCTATCTTTCTGCACTTTTATGACATCACTGTGATTTATTTTATATACTTTTGCCTATGTTGCAGAAAAGAATTTAAACTGTTAGATACTTTATATATATGCAATAAGGACATATGTCAAATTACTCCCTTATTGCATAAAAAAAGAAGTCACTTTGAGATAGGCCCTTATAGTATTATCAAAAAGTAGATATAAATAAATAATATACTTTGTTCAAACTTTCAGAGGTCATGAGTAAGACTAAAATAATGTCAAAAATGATATAAAACCATTTTTGGAAAAAAATGTAGTTACGCCCTTATTGCGTTAAGCCCTCGATATTTTCTACATGCATGGAGGAATTCTAATGTTACTTTTATAGAATTGTTCACCACCATGAGACGTAGTGCCCTGCACATAAACCAAGTCTCTAGGTCAAAGGTGAAGGTCACAGTTAGAGCTCATAGAAAAACACTTGTCTGGAGCAAAACTTATACATGCATAGAGGGATTTCAATATAATTTGGCACAAATGTTCATCATTGTGAGGCTGAGTGCCGTGCATAAAATTCAGGTCCCTGCGACCAAGGTCAAGGTCACACATTCTGTGCATATCTTCCCTATTGATTTGTTTTAAGGTTCATTTAACAACACAGTGCCAAGAATAAAAACTTGCTTGCTAGATAACACTTATCCATAATGCCCCCATCTCCATCTAAAGCTTTTTCGTAAACGGGCGTATTTTGTGACTATGGCACCCTTGTTGAATTGATGTCTTTCATGTTTAATACAGACATTACAAGGAATATCCTCACCCTTTTGGTTTAGTTAGGGGTTAAAAGTCAAAATCAGGGGTGCCAAAAGTGCTAACAATAGATTTTTTTACACTTTTTTATACAGCCTTTGTAATTGTATTTTTTTACCAATGTGTCATATTTACAAGAAAAATACATAAGCCTTATTTAGATGGTCCTTAAAGTTTAAATAGAGTTTAGGTACACAGGGTTCAAGGTCAAGGGTCTTGCATTTATTTGCATTGATAAGTTTCTATTGGTTGAATATCTGCAGTCAGTGAATTTAAGATTTTGAATTTACTGAACCGAATTCCAGTTTTGAATTTATTAGTCCCGTAGCGGTTAACCGGAGGGGACTTTAGGTTTACCCTCTGTCCATCTGTCTGTCCGTCCGCACTACCGAAAGGGGATAGGGGGCCATCTAACTGTAAACCGAACAAAAGAGAACAATAGAGTTCATTCCGTAACAATAGAGTAAAGGGCCATTGGCCCTCTATTAAAAAATAGAAAATAACAAAAGAAATGGCCCCTTATTCCATTTCGGCCGGTCAGTCCGTCCAAAAACTGGATCCTGTGATAACACAAAAATTACTGAGAATATTTTTATGAAACTTGATATATGGATAGATGGCAGAACGGAGGTTATGCACATCTTTTTCTTTTCTTCCTATGTTGAATATTCTGTGCTATGGCAACAAATAGACTGAAAATATGGCAAATTTTACACATAAATTGGATCCAGTGATAGCGCCAAAAGTACTGAAAATATTTTTATGAAACTTGATATATGGATAGATTGCAGTACGGTGATTATGCACGTCTTTTTCTTTTCTTCCTATGTTGAATATTCTGGTTGCTATGGCAACAGATAGACTGAAAATATGGCAAATTTTACACATAAACTGGATCCAGTGATAACGCCAAAAGTACTGAAAATATTTTATTGAAACTTGATATATGGATAGATGGCAGTATGGAGATTATGCACGTCTTTTCCTTTTCTTCCTATGTGGAAAATTCTGGTTGCTATTGCAACAAAAAGACTGAAAATGTGGCAAATTTAACACATAAACTGGATCCAATGATAATGTAAAAAGTACTGAAAATATTTTTAGGAAACTTTAAATATGGGTAGATGGCAGTCTGGAAATTATGCACATTTTTTTTAACTTCCTATGTTGAAAATTCTGGTTGCTATGGCAACAAATACACTGAATTTCAAGATTTCCGGTTATGATTTTTACATTTTTTCGCTATAACTTCTTTATTTCATGAGGTATTTACTTCAAACTTTAAATATTAATTTTCTGGTCATCAACCACATCATATGTGACAAGATTTATAACTCTAGCACAAATATTATCATAATTACCTCCTTTGAACTTAGAACTTTCATGAAAAAAAAAATATATTTTTTTTTAAATAACTTCTTTATTTCTTAATGTATCTGCTTCAAGCTTCATATGTATGTATCTTATTTTTGCTCAACATATGTGAGAAGGTTCAATACTCTAGCAAAACTATTTTCAGAATTATGCCCCCCTTGAACTTTTTCGAGAAATTGGTATTTTTTACTCCCAACTTATTCCTTCCTTTTAGGATTTACTTCAAACTCCCACATTTTAATAATATGAAGATTTTTGCAACAAATTTACTTAAAATAGAGAAAAGATGAAACATTTACTTATTCATCCTGAGAAAGTTGGACCTTTTGATTATCTGTTGTATAAACATAATTTCTTTACTTGGCAGGGAAACTTAACACTGTTTACTATGTTATATACAAACTTAAAACTCAAAAGCCATAAGAGTAATACCGGCTCAAGGAACATTTTGGAAAAATATGTAGAGGGAAAAATTATACTTAATAAAAGTATGGGACAGTCTTTATATGTTTTAGGCAGATATATATTTTATCCAAAACTTTTTCTTATATCAACTGTTGTCAAGCACCATTATTATTGTCAATATTGAAATTTATAGTCAATAAAACTAAACTTGACATTGAAAAAAAAAATGAGCTTAATGTCACTTAAAGATTTTAAGTAGAATGTGATGATATATGCCATGAATTGATAATGTAAGGTACAGTAGGGGATGGCTCTCCGACCCCACTGCACCAATTACGGGGAAAATAAATGGGCAACCTATGTTGCTGAAAAATTAAAAAAAAAAAAAAATTAAAACTCAAAAGATTGAAGTTCATTGATGTAATTCATTCATTCAATGGTATAATTGAATGGCCAATGGCCCATCAGAATGTTGCTTTAGGTTCTAACCAGTAGGGGACTTATGGATTGCTTGCAATACTATGATAATTGCTTGTTCTACTTGATATTTAACCAAATTTACTTAAATTTTACTATGGCCCAAACTAATTCACAGTGACCATTTGGGGGGGGGGGGGGGGGGAAGGAGGTGGCAGTGCTAAATTCGATTACTGTATTTGGCAACTTCATCGTATAGCAATGACATGCCAACTTGTATATTTCGCAATAACAAAAGTTTAAACTTCATGACTCTGTCATGTTTTGTAACTGTGTTTACAATTTTTTTTAACCTTTTAAGAAAAACTGTTACTGACAAGAATCTGGGCTGCAATAAGGGACATTTGTGTTTAACAAACACGTTCTTATTGTACTTATAATTTCAGTCAGTTTTAAATGAGTTGTTGTTTGAATTTTAAAGTACATGTATATATAGTTTATTTTCTTATTTAATTTTATGGCTTAACGTGGTTAAAAATGGATGAAAGTTATTTTATGCAACTCTTCCATGTATCTATTACAGTAAAAAGATCATGCAAATCCATATTGGTCAAGAAGATGAAGTAGATCACTTTTTGTCAGTTCAGCGATCAGCCAATGTTTGTATCCAGTGTTACAAGTTGATCACAGTCATAGCTGGAAGATTTAGATGAAAGTTTGGCGTAGGGGTGTACTCACTGCTGTAGTCAAAACAATATGGCACGTTTATGCAAAGCCTTTCTACTGCTGGTGGTCATTGCTAGTTTACTCATGGTATTTCTGCTGATCAACTTTTCACAAATATATGTCACAGAACCAAGTAAGTTATTGTTTTATTTTACCTGAAAATAAAATTGTTTAAAGGTTGTGAATACATTTAAGCAATAAATTGTTTTGACAAGTAAGCAGCATGTGTGCAGATTTTGACTTGTACTATAAATATTTATATAATACACTTATACCCGTAAAATTCCTAATAAACACCCTCCCCTAATAAAAACCCCCCCCCGGCTTTTTGATATGAGTGGTGAACTCTTTAATAAATCCGTAATTTTATTCAAGTCCTTCAGAATCCATTTTATTTCATAGTAAACACAAAAATTGTCACATGAACTTTAAAATCTTAACACATTTTAATGTTATTACCAACCCATGTTACACTAAATGTATTTTCAATGATTTTTGATTTAGGAAAAACGTGTTGTAATAATAGCCCCCCTTTTGGAAAATGTTTAGCCCCCGGGGGCGTTTAATGGAATTTTACGGTATATAAATATATAGTTTACCAGTTACCTATATGTTTTTGACACTTCTTTACCAGGTCTGCAAGTTGAAAAATCTTGTAAGAATTTTTTTTTATATTGGTGGGTGGTTTGGTGATTGTGCAATGTGCATGCTGCCTACCATGAACACTTACTTCTTTATGTTTAAGTGGGCTCATTGGCATGGTTTTGTGATACCTTCATTATTAATTTATTATAGTTGAAAACATTGGCTGTGAGTTTATGACAATATCTTTTTCACTTGTTATCAGATTTTCTTTTGATCATATTCTGCCGACGTTGAGTTTGTTCTGATATGGTGATCACTGACTTGTATATTGAAAGGGTATAGGATTATGGTTTTAGTTGAGTTTAATTATTTCAGAAGCTGAATCTAAAGATGTAGAATCTCCCCATCTCCGGAAGCTAAAGGTACTTTATTGATTTGTTTTATTTGTACAATTGACAAATTTCATTTGAAAGAAATAGTTTCATATGGTTTAATGCTTTACTTTTGTAAATAAATGTGAATAAAAACAGCAAATAGGACAGTGTTTTATGTAGCATAATTAATTTAGTCTGATACAAGTGCTTTTGTTGTTTTTGTGGTCATGCTCTGTTGACCATATTAATGTAGAATTAGGCTTGTAGATTGTCCTAGATAAATGCAGTACAAAGCTACTAGAGCTTTAATTACATGCAATTACATGTGTAGAAATCTAGAAATGCTCAATGCAAGTCTTTAAAATAAAAAAAATACTGTCTGTAAAAATATTGTGCTGATCTTTACATTAAAGTTACATTAAATAAATTTCATAAAAAAAGAAATAGCGACATTTCATTAATAAATTGGGTTTCATATCGACTCCAGATCTTATTTTGGTGTCCAGGCAACCAAAATGAGTTTAATGAGCATACAAATGTGCAACCTCATTGTGGCGAATTCGGAAGTACAATTTCTGTTTGCATGAGAAACTCCGCCTTCAGATCATCCGTACATCAATATTAAATCAACAAACATGACTATAAGTAGCAGTCCTAATTTAACGGTATATTTCCGCATTGTAACGGATATTTTCATACAAATTTAATCTTTTTTATGAGATGATTATTTTTTCTGAACCACAGGCCTAGTGCACCGTGAAGCTTAAACGGTAAAAGTGTGTTTGCACAAGAAAATCTTATATTTGCTGTGTTCCGGATAGCAACTATAACTCCGTGACGTAGCGCATACACGAGCTGATTATAGTCTTCATTTGCATGTTAAAATTTGTATACGAACTTAAGTGTTACCGTGGGGTTTTCCATTTAAAATCCAATTTATGAACAATATTTGATGAGATTTACAACGATACTGTTAAAAAGGTTAATGAAACTGTAAAATGCTTGATTTTTAGGCCGACGTCAAAAATATTTTAACATATTTATTTAATGTAACTTTAATTATTCTGTATTTATATACAGTGTTTCCACTACAGTGCATTTCTTGCATTGTTTGACACAATTATTTCATGAGTGGTGTTATGAAAATTGCGAACGTGTGTTTTCCCTGACACAGTTGAAGTATACTAAATGTTTTTTGTTTTTGTTTTTTTTTAAATAAGTTAGTCCTCCAACAAGCAAAAATAAGCAAATAATTGTTTGAATGCACTTCCTGTGTCTAGATTTAGGTATAAGTGGTTGAAAGTGTAATAATTATTGGTTGTTAAATTGGCATATTTTGTGTCTAGAGTTTTAACTGTTTTACAGCCTGTATCAGATTTTGTATTGGGATTTTAGACATTTACAATCTGTTTGCATGTTTTTGCAACCGTATGACTTTGTCAATAAAATTTACTTGAAAGTAGTAGATCTGAATCATGTCGTGAAGTAAATGTCAGTAAACTCTGAAACTATGACAAGTACAAAACGTACATTGAAATTAAAAGCAAAAACCCAAAGCATAATATCAAACAGGTTGGCTGTAGGCCCTTCATATTTTCAAATGACTTCCAGTTTTCCCAACAGCATGCATTATGTGGCTTTAAGATAAAGTATATCATTTCATATTTATCATAACTTCTTTTCCTTATTAAAGTTGCTGATTGAATAACATGTAAATTAAAGCTGTCCAGTTAGCTCAATAAGTAGAGCATTGGACTAAGAATCTGGTGACCCTGGTTCAATTCCAGGATGGTGCAGGTTCCTTTTCGTTGTGATCCAATCATGAAATCCCTTCTACAGTCATTCACACTGTACCTCTGCTCTGGCATGTACAGAAGTTATTCGTTCCTTGTGAAAGTGAAGACAGCTTGTGCTGGTAAAGTCTGCTTGAAAGTCTGCCCAGGAATGATAGTGGCTGAACTGTGTTCTGTACCAACACCAAAATATATATTACTGATAGGAGCACATTAAAACTAGAACTGGTACTCTTAAAGAAATAATTATTATGTCAAGTGTAACTTAGATCTGACCCCAAACAACACAATTAGTGTGGACTTTGACTTTTTGATCATCAAATACTTTCTGTTGAGATGGTAAAATTTTCACAAAATGTCCTTTTTAGGTGCCAAAACAAAGCCCCTGCATTCATATGACAGTGTATTAAGACACTGTTGGAAGGTAAATATTTGGTTCATTTCACTTTCATTAACCAAGGGTTCTGGTAGATGGTGGTTACTGGTGCATAAGATTTTTACAATTTTTTCATATTTTGTTTTGAAGACTGCTGATCAACTTAATTTGAAGAGGCCAGGTTTTTTTGACAATCACTACCCTTGTTCAGTGATTTGGAAAATGCTATGCTTTACCCACTGAGTTACTTTTTGTATGGTACTCATGTTACTGTGAACAGAATAAGGGGTCAAAGATTATTGACGATGTGAAACTGCTCATTTGTATACTGCTACATCCTTATTTTCATATCTTTTAAAAATGTTCATATATCATCATCATTTGTTTATAGATTATTTTATATAGAATAAGATTATTTTATAAGTATATGTTTCTCAGTACATGTATGGTTTTAACCAGGCTCTTTGTTGAAATAAAATCTACACATAGGAAGATAACATTGTTCTATGGATCAGGTAAGAGTGCACAAAGGGTAAAACTATTTAAACAACAGCTTCCTGTTGGTCATTTATTATTTATTTTCATGGTTTAAAGATTCAAGCTAAGATTATTTAATTATTATCTCAAATATTTACTATACACTGAATTGTAATGAATTTGAAAACTTAAAAATAATCTTCCTTTCTTAATAAAAAATTCTTCTTTTATATAAACTTATAAAAATGTTTTCAGCAAATGGCTTTGTTTGAATGTATTAAGTCGTATGTGATGGAAAACAGTTTTTTACATTCTTGAAAATAAAAAAGTTTACACATACAATTAATGAAAAAAATAGTTGACATGAAGAAATGATAAGTGGTTAAATGGGAAGCTAAATGTGGGTAAATTAAACTTGTATTTGTCAGTGTTTTGTCTCAAAGTATGAAATGATGGTATATGTACATTATCTTATGTATAATGAATTGCCTACAGGGTAAGATAACATGAAGATTTATCTTGAACCTGCTGAATAACTGTGATTAGTCTTTACCACTAGTATAACAAGATAAATCCGGACCTGGTGTGCAGATCTGTGCCGTTTGACAAGGTTCTATACTGTTGGTAGCCCAATTTTTGCACATGTATTGTGAATCTGTAATCCCTTTATCTTTGACTGGACCATTTCAAATTGAGCGCTCGGGCAAATCTATAATACATCTCAGGTTAACAGTTAAAACATTCTGTAATCATTGTAATAATTGCCACCTTAGTGCTGTAACAGGCTATATCTTATTAAATTATTTAAGAAGTTAACCTGTTACTGCACTAAGGTACAAGAGAATTTGAATAGATGGATATATATATCAGTGGAAAGATCAATCATAGTGTATAAAATCATAGTGTATAAATAAAGCAAAATATTGATTAATTATAGTGTATAAATAAAAGCAAAAGATTGATTAATTATAGTGTATGAATTAAAGGAAAAGATTGATCTATAATTAATTCATACTGATACTAATTATTGAGACAGAACATTGTGGTACAAGTTCTTAACAAATATATAGTATGCTTTTGATTAACTTTTCAGGCTATTGTACGCACACACACATATATATTCATCTTAATGAAATTTTGCTTTTCAGATTGAATGCTGGTAGGTTCATTGTTAACATTTTGTAATAAAAATTGCAACAGTGTAAGCAACATAATGCTTTTGTTATTATATTCCATATTGTTTTCAGGGAAAGTGGTGTGACTATGGCACCAGTATAGAGCCAGGCCAGCCTGAACATTCTCACATTCTGACTGGGTTTTATACTGTCACCTACTCAGATTTAGTATTTTGATGCTGAATTCATTTAAAATAACAATAGACACTTCTAGGTTCAATGGAGTTACTTTAAAGAGCTGAATCAATACTTATATATGTTTAATTCTGTACAAAGGTGGACAAAAAAGGGGTGACTTTTGTCATGAGAGTAAACAAATGAAGTTTAAGCTGATGCAATGTCAGTGATTCTTCATAAGTAATGTCTGATTAATAAACTAAGTCTAAGTGGATAGCTGGAGTCTTCTATGATTCTAGCTCCTTGTATATATGAGCCATGCCATGACAAAACCAACATAATGGGTTTGCTACCAGCATGGATCCAGACAAGCCTGGGCATCCGCCCAGTCTGATTAGGATCCATGCTGTTCGCTATCAGTTTCTCTACTTGTTATAGGGTTTGTAAGCGAACAGTTTGGATCCTGATCAGACTGCGCAGGCTGGTCTGGATCCATGCTGGTCGCACACATATTATGTTGGTTTTGTCATGACGCGGCTCATATCTTAATAAACTAATGTTACAGTTATGTAAATAATAAAGCGCTTGATGTCTTTTTGTAAAATAATGTACTATTACATGCATATGTTTAAAATATAAATATTAAGCTGTGTCTTAACATCTTCATTTTGAATTACTGATTATGAAAAGATTGTTTGCTATTGAATATAGCCTTGGCAAGCTTAACAGTTTTTAACATTATATCTATATATACTTTATAACGGCAATGTTTCTTTTTGTGATACGGTAAATTGCAATAAAACCCCACCATCTCTTGGACTAATATGTTTATTGATAATTGATCATAATAGCTATGATGATGATTTAGTGACGTCATCAATCAAGTTAGAAAAAAAGAAAAATAAGATTCTCACAAATTACAGTCTAAGTAGAAAATTATAATTTGGAAGAATTGAATCACTCTTTTGTATAATTTTATGAATTCTTAGTAAGTTGTTACTCTGAAAGTTTTTTTAATAAATTATTATATCATTTCTCAGATCATTTCTTTTGACTGACACATTCATCTCATTTCTTTAGGTTTTAATGTGTATTTCTGATTCTTTCATAATTTTGTGGAAGCTGTTGATTCTTGTTGTTATCTTATATATTGAAGGTTATTTGTATATTACCTACAGATGGTTCCTGAAATTGTAATGTACAAAAGCACACCTGAAGCAAAGCTGTAAACATGCCTTAAAGTATCTATATGTCTTAAAATCAAACAGAACCACAAAATGTTAGTTTTCATATCCAAAGAGTAACATGTCTTTGTTAAGAATTTCATTTACAAATTACTTGTAGTTACTGTTAATTTTAAGTGTGTAATAAATGCTTTTTTTTCTGTTTTGTAGTCCAAATATACAGAGAAAAATAAAGAAATGAAGAAACGTGTCGTGACATTGGATGAGGAATGCAAAAATCTGGTAAAGAATGGATCTGAATTCCAATATATACAGAAATCCAAGCTGGACCATTTAATTGTTGATGATAGGTATAAAGTTATATACTGTTATGTGCCAAAGGTTGCGTGTACAAACCTTAAACGTGTTTTTCTGTTACTCACTGGGAAAATGAATGTATCTGACCCGCTAATGTTAAAATCTGGTGATGTTCATGCAGGTTTAGATAAATATCTCACATACTTAGATACTTTCCCTCCTGCTGGTATCAAATACAGGTTCCTACATTACAAAAAAGTGATATTTGTTCGAGAGCCTTTCGAACGTATTCTTTCTGCATATAGAAATAAATTTCTTCAGAATGGAAATTCATATTTTAAGGAGAAGTTTGGAAAGAAGATAATTAAAAGGTATCGCCAAAATCCGAGTACAGACTCATTAGACAAAGGTAATGATGTTACTTTTAAAGAATTTGTGCAATATTTACTTAATCGTAAGACAATGGAACAAGGATATAACGAGCATTGGGAAACATTTCATAATTTATGTCATCCCTGTCACATTAGATACAACTATGTAGGTAAATACGAGTCTTTAGACGATGATGTGGATGGACTGCTAAAGATTCTAAAAGTGGACGATAAAATTCATTTTCCAGCGAGAGCTGATATGTATAAAACGTTGAAAACAGAAGACACATTACTGAAGTTTTATAAAGGAATAAAACCTGAAATGTTGACAAAGCTTTGGAATGTATATGCCAAAGATTATAATGTGTTTGATTATGAAGTACCGCCAGCGATCAAGAAGTTGATGAAACCTGTGCTGTAATGCATTGGTGCTATAATTTCTAGTCTAATTGTAGATATACAGGCTTTGTAACATTCATTTTTAACTGAAATATTTGTTAAAAAAATTAATATTTTGAATAATAAGGCAATTGAACTAGCTTTTTCCTCATTTTTGTCAAGTATCAGTAAAAGGATTTATATGTCAAGATTTTTCTTCATATTAAGGACACAGTCATCGAATTTAGCACTGGCCCGGTGGCCCATGGCCAGTGAAAAATAGTTCGGGCCAGTGAAAATTTTAAGAGCATTTAGTTAAATATATAGTAGAATAAATTCAAAACTGGAGTTCTAGCTAGTAAATTCAATTGACTGAGGACATAGGAAGGTTTTGATTTTTAGCTCGACTATTCGAAGAATATGAGAGCTATTGTAGTCGCCCCGGCGTCGGCGTCAGCGTCCGCGTCGGCGTCTGCGTTGGTTAAAGTTTTTTGTAAAGTCAAATATCTCAATTATTACTTGAGATATTCAATTGAAACTTACAATACTTATTTATAGTAACAAGGTACATCAGATTGACAAGTTGGATAACTCTGCCTACAATATTGACAGAATTATGCCCCTTTTTAACTTAGAAATTTTGGTTAAAGTTTTTTGTAAAGTCAAATATCTCAATTATTGCTTGAGATATTCAATTTAAACTTACAATACTTATTTATTGTAACAAGGTACATCAGATTGACAAGTGGGATAACTCTGCCTACAATATTTACAGAATTATGCCCCTTTTTAACTTAGAAATTTTGGTTAAAGTTTTTTGTAAAGTCAAATATCTCAATTATTGCTTGAGATATTCAATTTAAACTTACAATACTTATTTATTGTAACAAGGTACATCAGATTGACAAGTGGGATAACTCTGCCTACAATATTTACAGAATTATGCCCCTTTTTAACTTAGAAATTTTGGTTAAAGTTTTTTGTAAAGTCAAATATCTCAATTATTGCTTGAGATATTCAATTTAAACTTACAATACTTATTTAAAGTAACAAGGTACATCAGATTGACAAGTGGGATAACTCTGCCTACAATATTGACAGAATTATGCTCCTTTGGAACTTTTTTGTTAAAGTTTTTTTTGTAAAGTCAAATATCTCAATTATTGCTTGAGATATTCAATTGAAATTTAAAATACTTTTTTGTTGTAACAATGTACATCAGTGTGCAAAAATTGCATAACTCTGCCTGCAATATTTGCAGAATTATTTGCCCCTTTGAAACTTAGTAATTTTGGTTAAAGGTTAAAGGTATTCAAAGATATTTACTTGAAACTTTACACATGCACTTAGGGTCATAATTGGAGGGTCATAATTGTATGTCACTGACCAAGTTCCATAACTCTGTCTTGCATTAAGGCTGATTCATATCCCCTTTTCTACTTAGTCTCTTGGTTAATGTTTACATGCAAGTTTTACATATCTCAATAACTATTAAAGATATTTATTTAAAACTTCACATATGCATTTAGGGTTATAATTGTAGGTCACTGACAAAGATCCATAATTCTATCTTGCATTTAGGCTGATTTTTCTCCCCTTTTTTCAACTTAGAAATTCATGGTAAAGTTTTGTTTGTAAGCTGTTATCTCAATAACTACTGAAGGGTTTGTCACTTTGTGCCTTTTTTGGGACAATTTTATGCATTCATAATAATAAAGCAGTGATTTCTTGATAAAACATCTTAATAACAAGCCTTTGTACCTTGTCTGTCAAATTTATTTTTCATAGGTAATTAGTATTATATTATATTCAATAAAACACCTTGTGACATTACCTTCCAAATAGTCAAGCCAATACTGTATAATTAGACTCTCTCTAAGGCCTATAACATGAATTTATAAAAAAAAATTAGCCCTTTTGTGAACTTAAAAAATTTAACATTATCAAGGCTCTTTTACTATCAAGCACTTAGAATAGTCGAGCGTGCTGTCCTTCCGACAGCTCTTGTTATGAATATTGCATAACATCAAGATTTGTAATGGGTATATTTCTTGCATTGTAGAATGAATGCTGCTAATACTGACATTGATTTGATAGTAATTATAATCAAGTGAAGGTAAAAACACCTTCTGAAAAAAAAACTGCTGTGATTTGAAACTGTAAAAACAAAATTATAATAAAACAAAACAAACAAAAACATTAACATCACCTGGTAAACCATTTATTTATGTAATGTTCAATATATTTAAGATAGTCAACTGTTTGAAGTTGTAGGGTCCAAACAAAATTTTTTCTTTATACATGTTATATACATGTATATTGATGATGAACACATTTTAGCTGTTGTTAATTATAGGAGGAAATTTATATACTATTTTTGTTAATGTTTGTATTGAAAAACTATCTCTATATATTATTGTTATTGATATATTAATGTAGTAATGTTCAGGAATTATGTATGCATAATATTCAGTAGCAGCAGCTGTGTAACTAGCCTTGTGTGTCAAAATAATTTCATTTGTCAGTCTTGTCCTTAGTGTTTATATGTTGTTTCCATTTATTGTCTTAATAACATTTAAACACATATTTTAGTTGTCAATTTTTTTTTTAACAATTCTTTGTTCAATTGTCCATTTTGCCAAAATTTTAACAATCTTATATTATATTAATATAAGTTAGTGTATTGAAATATTATAATTAATTTTAAGTAGAGATTAGAATTTTAAAAAAAGAAAAGCTACAATGTGAGAAATTGTGAGACATCTACAAAGGTGGGGCCGTTACACAAATCTGGCTTATGTAGACTGAATATATCCTTTCCACGAACGACCCTCTTTTTTTAGACTGACACCCGTAACGTTTTCAAACGTGCACATTTTTTCAAACCCTAAAAGCGGGGTCTGAAATTAGTGAAGGAAACCCAAAACGTTATAAAACGTGTGTTTTTTTTAACAGTCTTAAAAACTGTAATGGAAATCAGCGTAAAAGAATTAAGTTAAGTTCTATAAAGCGTAATACCTGATAAATCTTACGCATAAATACGGTTCAGACTTTCTTGCGAATGAGGAATATACCATATTTCAACGATATGGTTGTCCATCGTATAATATTGAAAACACCGTCATTTTACATTATGGGGATACTGGTGTTTGTTTGCTGTGAAATAAAAATCTCAGATAATTATAAACGCACATTTTGACGAAAATACGTTTTAGTATGTTACGGGTCATTATGCGGTATAGGTAAATATGATATCCACTACGTGTAAAACGGTAAATGAGAAGTTACCAATAAATGACTGAAAAGTAGAATTCCGTAAAAATGATTAATCTAATTAGCAATAATTAATCATCTTGTCTTTAGAAAAATGTCATAAATTAGGTCTTTACAATTAAGACAAACAAATTTTCTATAAGGTAAAACATGTTTTAGAAGCCTTTTTATACGCCCGTTTGAAAAACGGGACGTATTATGGGAACGCCCCTGGCGGTCGGGCGGGCGGGCGGGCGGCGTCCAATTTTGTTCGGAGCATATCTCCTACACGCATGGAGCAATTTGAATGAAACTTGATGTTTAATGTTCACCACTATGTGAAGCAGTGTCGCGCGCGCACATGAAGCAGGTCTATGGGTCAAAGGTCAAGGACACACTTAGAGGTCATTGAAAAACGCTTGTCCGGAGCAAAACTTCTACATGAAGAGATATTTCAATATTACTTGGCACAAATGTTCACCATTTTGAGGCGGAGTGTCGCTTGCAAAATTCAGGTCCTTGCGGCAAAAGTAAAGGTCACACATGGGAGTGAAAGTTCAGATAGAAATATGAAAATGTGTATTCGGACCATTTAGTCATCATTTATTGAGGGATTGTAACACAAATGGTCATTATCAAGACTATGGCTGTGATACATATAATTTAGGTCAATATATACAAGGTCAAGGTCACTAAAGATGATGAAATATCCAGATTTTGTAAATAGAATTTAATCAAAGGGCAACAACAAAGTTATTACTTTGTTCATAAATGACTTACACAATTACTCCCTTGATCTACTTTCACTTTCAATTCTAAAAATAGAATTTAATCAAAGGGCATAAAATAATCCTCTTTCTTGGACTTGAGTATGTTCTAAAGAATGTAACATTTATTTACACATGTTTCATTCATTGGTCAAGATTCTTAACTGTGATAACTATGGTGTTCTGTAGACTTGGTATTTGTTCATAAAGATCATACAGTAATTACCTTATCAAATGTAAATACTTTCTCATAGAAATTTAATTATATTTTAATTTTCAAGTAAATATCAGTTCAGCTCATTCAAAGATTAAGAATTGTAATGAAATGTATTTCCCTAGAATAAAATCTTAAATCAGAATTTTTTAGTTATTAAATTACAATTACATGTACTTTTTATCTTCCCTACTGATTTGTTTTAAGGTTCATTTAACAACACAGTGCCAAGGATAAAAACTTGCTTGCTAGATAACACTTATCCATAATGCCCCCATCTCCATCTAAAGCTTTCGTAAACGGGCGTATTTTGTGACTATGGCACCCTTGTTATTAGTTAAATGGAAAAACGCATGGTTGAAATAAGTTGGTATTTGTAGCTTACTTTACCTAAAATTGATTTGAACTAAATTACCAATTTTATTGTCCAATAATATGATTAATAAACGATCAGTGACACTCTTAAACTGATTTTATAAAAATGACATAGTACTTTTAAAAAAAACTTGTTTCTTAAAACATTTATTTTATTTACCATCTTTTGAAAATGTTTTTAAAGTAGCTAATGCAAAATAATGTGATGAAAATATTGCCGGGTTTCCTACGACAAAACAACATCCGGTTTTGAGAATAGAAAATTTTGACACGTTTTATAACGTTTTGGGTGTTCTTTCGTAAAATAGGGTCGGCTTTTGGAGAAACGAAAAAACAATACATTTAAATACGTTACTGTCACGGAAAGGATATAGCTGGATAGTAAAAGTGGAGGATTTAGTGTGTCCTTGTTGTGTCTTAACTTACATGTTACAATGAACATATAGATGTGTATCTTAGCTTTAATTTAACTTGATTGTTTTTATCTCATTCTTATAAATCCTTACCAAAGATTTTTTTTACAATTTATTTAATCCATTCTATTATTTTATTTATTTACTGTATTGTTGTTTTTTAGCTCACCTGTCACAAAGTGACAGGGTGAGCTTTTGTGATTGCTTTTCGTCCCGTCGTCCGTCCGTAAACTTTTGCTTTAAATGACATCTCCTCATAAACCACTGAGCCAATTTCATCCAAACTTCACAGGAATGTTCCTTTGGTGGTCACCTTTAAAAATTGTTCAAAGAATTTAATTCCATGCAGAACTCTGGTTGCCATGGCAACCGAA